AAAGCATTAACCTTTGTTACTCTCACCTGAGACCAGAAGATGGAGGTGGTCTCAGCTGCAGTGATCACACACTGGTGAAGTTCACATAGTCCTGAGGGATATGAGTCAGGCAAACAGTAAAGTCAGGACCCTGAATTTTAGGAAAGCATACTTCCAGCTCTCCAAGGAGTTAGTCAATAGAATCCCCTGGGAAACTACCCTTAGGGGCAAGGGAGCAGAACAGAGCTGGCAGATCTTTAAGGACACTTTCCATAGAGTGCAAGAGCTCCTGATCCCCACATGTAAGAATCGGGCAAGAATGGCAAGAGACCAGCATGCCTGAGTTGATACCTGCTGGTGAAACTAAAGTGCAAGAAGGAAATGTAAAGGCAGTGGAAGCAGGGAGAGGTATCCTGAGAAGAGTATTGGGATGCTGCCCATTCATGTGGACATGGAGTCAGGAAGACCAAGGTGCAGCTGGAGCACAACTTGGCAAGGGATGCAGAGAATGAGAAGGACTGCTACAGGTGTGTCAGCCAGAAAAGGAAAGTAAAAGAAAGCACACCCCCCTGATGAGCAAGGCTGGCAAACTGGTAACAATGGATGAGGAGAAGGCTGAGGTACTCAGTGACATTTTTGCCTCAGTCTTCTCCGGCAGTGTCTCTTCCCACACCTCTCGAGTGGGTGGACCTCATGACGGTGACTAGAGGAGCAAAGTCCCACCCACTGTAAAAGAAAAACAGGTTCATGACCACCTGAGGAACCTGAATATACTTAAGTCCATGGGACCTGACGAGATGCATCCCAGAGTTATGAGGGAACTGGCTGATGTAGTTGCCAAGCCACTCTCCATGACATCTGAAAAATCATGGTGGTCCAGTGAAGTCCCTGGTAACTGGAAAAAGGGAAACATTGTATCCACTTTTAAAAAGGGTAGAAAGGAGGACCCTGGGAACTAATGCCCCATCAGCCTCACTTCTGGGCCTGGGAAGATCATGGAACAGATCCTCTAGAAGCTATGCTGAAGCACATGGAGGTCATTTGAGACAGTTGGTATGGCTTCACCAAGGGCAAGTCCTGCCTGACCAACCTAGTGGCTTTTTTTGAGGGAGTGACTGCATCACTACACAAGTAAAAAGCTATGTATGTCATCTATCTTGACTTTGGTGAGGCCTTTGAGAAAGTCCCCCACAATATACTCCTCTCTAAACTGGAGAGATATGGATTTGATGGGTGGCCTGTTTGGTAGATGAGGAATTGGCTGGATGATTGCATCATAGTGGTCAATGGCTCAATGTCTAGATGAAGAGTGGTGATGAGTGGTGTCTCTCAGAGATCCAGATTGGGACCAATACTGTTCAATTTCTTCATCAGTGACAAAGACAGTGGGATTAAGTGCACCTTCTGCAGGTTTGCAGCTGACACCAAGCTGACTGATGTGGTTGACATGCCTGAGGGAAGGGATGCCATCCAGAGGGACCTAGACAAGCTTAAGAAGTGGGCCCGTGTGAACCTCATGAGGTGGGCTGGATACTTCATTTTTGATACTTGGGGATTTTAACAGGCCATGTGACACATTTAATGTAGTAAATTAGTGTTGGTTTGTGGTGGTCTTAAATGGTGGGTAATACCAGCTGCATCTGCAGCTTCTTTTTCATGCACTTAGTGGCTAACTGCTTGACTTCCCAAGTCCTGGAAGAGTTCCTTTAAAGAGAAGATTTAGGCTCCACCATTTCCCTTGCAAGTCATGCTGTAATGGCAAATAAAATCCAGCAACATTTTTTGAAGAATAACTGTAGATTTCTGTCTGTATGAGGAATTCTGAGTTTTGGGTCCCAGGAAGACAAAAGCTCTGATGCTGTTCCTGATGGAATTGCTCTGTTGGAGATGTGGTGGTTAGAAAGCCACCTCCGGGTGTAGCAGGCTCCAGGATCACTACCTGATGGAATTGGTGCATACTCATATCTCCTCAGTCAGCATACAGATGTGTACCACAGATCTGACAAACTTCATTTGCAGTCCTAGAAGTCAGGGTTTTTTTGCTTTGTTAGTTATGTTGTGGGTTTTTGGTTTTGTTTTTTACAGTCTAGCCTGGAATGTCTTGGCTTTAATTTAAAGATTGTGCAGAGGACCTACGGTTGTTCTACCTTTGTCTCCAGTTCTATCATATACTTCCCTTTTTAAGCATATACATAAGGAAAAGTAATCCACTCAAATGTATTATTAATGTAAGAGTCAGAGATTGTTCTAACCAAATCTGTGTGTTACTTACTTCACAAAAATGTTTGTGGACGCAGTCTCCTGGTGAAGCTTTTAGAGCCCCCCTTCACAAGACTGGACAACAGCAGTGATTGCTTTTGTGTTAAATTGCAGGTCTAACAAAGCCTTTACAATAAGTATAAATGTGTCCTGGCCAGGAAAGTGAATTGCTTGAGACAAGGTGGGAACCTCCTGGACTGAACTGAATTTCCTATTATGACTAAGCATGCTTTCTTTTCAAAATGTGCCTTATCTCCGTAGGAGCAACTTGGCTGCTGTTTGTGTCAAATGGCAGCTGACCATTATGATTTTGTGTATTAAGTCTTTTTCC